AGTTTGGAACTGTTTCAAATATACAGGATTACAAGTAGTTAAATAGCTTCTCCTCAGAAAAGCAAAGTCTCTACCTGTGTAAAATTGAGCAAGGACTTCAGAAAAGAAAGAGTGAAGGGGAAAACTGTTATAGAACAGTGAGGAATTCAGGATTTTCTTTATCCTGAATATGGACACTAGTCTATGAAATTTCCACTAGCTTATATCTGTGTTGATGGATATGAGAGATGGAATATGCAGAATACTTCTATGGCAGCCAAACAGCTAAATGCCTTCAGGGTTTTGAAACTATTGCAGCATGATGGGATCACAGTACAAGAGGGAGAGCATTCTTTAAGGCTCAAAAAGCTATTTTTCTGACAGAACTGGGGATTTTAATGTGCATGGGATTGTTTTCTCTCTGACTATATTATTCTTTATTTGTCCTCAGCTTCTCTGTCAGGGACTATAACTGAGACAATTTACATTTTTTCTCATGAGGCTACGGCACGGTTTATATCTGATTATTCTGAAAATTACAGTGGCTTCAATGCAACATACACTACATTTAATGCAAATGAACTAAACAGTAAGTGTTATTTTTGTGTGTGTGTCTGATACCCTGTAAGTTTAGTGAAACCATATTTTAAGTTTGACAAAATGGAGGTGAAAAAGGAAGCAGTGTTTTATGGCCTTAATCTACTAAATAAATCAAATTTGAGAAATTTCATACTAATCTAAAGATCTAATAATTTATTTAAATAAGACTGTCCACAGGTTTACAGGCCTGTTTCTAGCAATAGGTGATGCCTTACAAAATTAATCTGTTTAAATGAGAATAAAACTCTGGCCATATCTCCAACAGAGTCCTCTAAGACAGCTTGTTCACTAATGACCCTTGTTGAATCACTGATGCAAATCATTATTCTATGATCACCTGACAGCACCTGCTTTCCAGAGTTTCTCATGTCCTCGTTTGTTGCCACAAGTAGTAGTCTCAAATGGTAAAACTAACATTCAGGAAAATACTTGCTTCAGTAAAAGTCATGTTGATTTACTAGAGGTTCTTATTTACAGATTATGAGAAAGTCAATTGCACTTTTGAAGACGGCTTTTGTTACTGGATACAAGATTTAGATGATGACTCAGAGTGGGAAAGGGTTCAGGGTCCTACCTTTCCCTTTATGAGTGGTCCCGATTTTGATCATACATTTGGCAACATGTCAGGTAAGATCAAATACAAGTTGCTTGCAGATTAAAGGAAAAGCTTGACTTAGCTTATGTTTTACCACTGTATAATGGATTCTTCATAGTGATATTGTTGGGATATAATTTTATTCTGACATAAAAATGAGTCAGGGCTACCAGACAAAATGTTTCATGCTACTGATCGCTATCTTGTGTAAATATACCCAAGCCTAAAGATGAAATAAAGGAATATATGAAGTGATTAAAGTGTGAGGTATTGAAAAGCTTCAGTTAATATGCCCAAGTGCCTTATCTGAGAAAATAAGTTCTATTATGCAACAGTATTATAGGTCAAATAGCTACATGCCTACCTTAAGGAAATATACAAGTATAGCATAGTTAAATTTTAGGGAAATCACTTCTATTTCATCCATATCTACTAGTGACATCCTTGTCACAGAATAATTTTGTTTTAATGTAAAGTTTACCTGCAGAGTACATAGGACACCTTTGTCCCTAGTTAGACTTGCACAGCAAACACACTAATTTTCAACACGTGCAAAAAACACTAAGACTCCAGCAGCTGCTACAGCAAAACAACTTAATTGGCAGAGTGATCATACCAAGTGGGGATTTTAATTAAAGAGTAGTCTTAGTGATAGGGGTCAGATTTTGAATGTATATCTGAAAGCTTATCCCAGAAATAGAGTCCAAAAGTTTTTTTTCTGCTTCAACAGGAAAACCAAACAACCTCTTTCCCAGCTGATTTGTCCATTCAGCTAAAACTAATTAACATAATTTGGATTTTGCAATGGTTACATATATTCTGTATAAGACTATACAGTCAGTGACAAATAACTGGAAAAATGGCAAATCACTTTGGAAAAAGTTACCCCCAGGAAAATAAAAATATTATTCACCACGCTATTGGACAGAAATTATTCACCTCTGAGCACATTTTCTAAATAATCTCCAGAACAATGTTTTGTCTTTCCACTTGACTTCTAGAATACAAATCAGATAAAAGAATGTAAAATTTGTTTAATAAAGCATTTGACAACAATTTCTAGCTCTCTTGGAAATGCTAATTTATTTTGGGTGTTCTGTGTTTCACTGTGCTAGATCTAAGCCGATATGTAATGATGCTACTACAATGAATATTCAAATTTCTGTGACCTGCATTTGAAGTAAAAATGTGAGCTGCAAAATTAATATCTATCACATACCTTCAGTGAGACAGTGTATTTTTGTTTTGCTGCTCTTGAAAGGCAAAGGATTTAATACATACTGAAAATTGGTTCAGAATGCTCAGAGAATTTATGAAATAAAAATAGAGGCCTGTCACTTTTATGAAAAGGTCTTCTTATAATCAAAGTTTTCTTTTCAAAAAGAATGCTATGCTCATTTTATTAAAGCTAGACACTATAGATATATATACATAATTTAAATTATATAGTTATATCTATATATATTTATTCTATGAATATAATATCTTCATGTATGTGTATTAGATAGAGAATAAACCCCAAGATTAAAGCCATGACTTCAGTAAAGTAAAAATTTTATTTTAGGACTTTCAGATTTTAGGACTGTATAATTTCACATTTCCTGTGACAAATCTCAATGCTCCTGTAGCCAAGCTTCATGTTTATCTCCACATGACAGCAATAAAACCAAATTACCAGCTACAATGAATTAACTGAGAAAAAGTTAAAACCCAGTTTCCCCAAAGAATATGTTTTTCTTGTTTATAATGCCTCAGCTTTCTGTAAAATATTCATGTAATCGTCCTCTCACCCTTCTCAATATGCAACCCATATTTCCTATTATTATGTGGATAAAAATTATAAAAAATGTTGTGAAATTCTTCTGCAAAATCACAAGCAATGTCAAAGAAGACATTTTAATAAAATAAACAGAAATCACTGCCTTCATGAAATAAAAGGCAAATCTCCCACTGACTTCAAAAGGACTAGTTTCTGTTTCATGTCTAGTTCTGAGGAGTGTCCAACAAGTTTAAAACCTCATTTTAATATGTCATTGACAGATGAATATAACTTGGGATAATCATTCACATTTATTGTATGAGGAATCTTCCAAGTCATGCAACACTATCTGTGCTTGATATTGATGTTATTTTTAATATCAAAAATCTTATTTAAAAAAAAAAAAGTTATTCTGTACTGACTAAAATGTGTGCTTATTATTTTGCAGGATTTTATATTTCAACACCCATAGGACTTGGATCTGGAGAAGAGAGAGTCCGGATTCTGAGTCTGCCTTTGGTCTCTTCAGATTCATTTTGTCTAAGCTTTTGGTATTCTTACATAATTCCAAAATATATACTTTGTTAAAAACAAAACCAGACAGCTTTCTTTCATATATAATACTAATCCAAGTCTGTGTGCCAGAAGTACAAGCCTGCTTCTGTTTGGATTTCCATGCTCAATCTCAACTCCAGCCTGAAACTTTGACTCCTTTATAGGTTTGATTTTTGCAGTTAGCTTTAATGTATTTTCTTTTTCACCCTGTAACCAATATTCATTTCCATACAGAAATTATATTAAGAATTTCTGAAATGCTTTTTGTCATGAAGCTTAACAAGGCTTCTGCAGAAAATAGCAAAGAACCAAGTAAAACTTCCAGGTATAATCTAAACACGATTAATTTTATTTTCATTCTCACTACAAATTAGTCCTAATTCCATAAAACTGTTTATAGAATTAAAAGCTTGACATTTTTAAAAGAAATTTCACTTTGTTCTAATGATACCAAAATTGCTCTTCTCCCTCTAGGTATTTCATGTACAGTGCTAATGTTTACCGTTTAAGAGTTAGCATAAGTAATAAGCATGGTTTGGAAAAGATCATTTTCCAAAAAGAAGGAAACTATGGAAACTACTGGAATTATGGACAAGTAACTTTAAATGAAAAATCTGATTTTAAGGTTTGTTTAACTGCTAGTTCTTTTTAAAAATTATTTTAGCTAAACTAATAGCAGAGTTTTCCATCAAATGAGCCAAATGATCCACAGCTCCAAAGATAATATCTAGTACTGTTCACTAATTGCATGCCATCAAATAAAATTTAGCATGCAAAACACTGGAGTCCCCGTTTGAATTGTCATTCCCCAACACCATCACCCTTCCCTACTCTGGAAATTAAAGTTATTGTGGAAAACAGAAAATCTTAATGTTGTCATGGAACAATGAATATTACGGCGAAATAGAGCTTTCCACAAAACCAGGGTGTTCAAAGCCAATTATCAAAATATGATGTGGAGTTTAAAATCTTGATGGTGAGTGTGATACGAAGCACTTAACCATGAGAAGATTGAAATTAGACAACTTCATATTCTGAAGCAATATTTTCACTAATTACAGAATGATTCCGTGAAAGTATGTTCTAGACAGTCTTTGGTGCCACCTGACTTGTCTGTACACAAAAGGAGAAGACTTATGTTAGACAATTCCTTCAGCAATTCTATTGAAAACAATTTCTTTTTATAGGTGTTTGGGATGGCTGGTCCCCTATACTAGTTTTGATTGATGCAAAAGCACTTCCAGAAAGACACATTTATCTCCTGAGGAAGTAAATGTATCTGTGACCTGGCTGCACCAGGCTGCCAGAAAATGTGTGGTTTATGATCTCAGGAAGAGTGCTATACCTAGCTGTATTTTACCAGCATGAATTCCTTGGTAGCAGGATTACTTAAAGTATGTGGATATTAAAGCTCAATGACAAACAAATGAGATTAGTTTCAGTTTATCGTGAAGATATACACCATTAGATCAAAAGAATTTTGAACTGATGAGATGTGTCATATAGGATTTCTTTCAAAAATTATTTGTATTCATGTATAAAAAGTCAAATTATAGAATAGTTTTAAATTGTGTTCATCATTTATATGAAGAAGTTCCTGCATTCCTTAGAACAATCCTATTAGTTTGAAAACCACTGGGGTTTTATTTTGTGAGGAATCCTGTCTCATCCCTTATGACCTCCTCTGAGTATAACACCTGTGTAGATTACCATGGAAATAAGAGCATTCAAGAAAGAAGACAAAATGGTTCAGCATAGGAAGTTGAAAAATGTTTCATTAAATTAATTTTTTTTTTCATGAACTTCAGGTTATTTTTGATGCCTTTAAAAGACGTGGTCCCAGTGACATTGCCTTGGATGACATTGGCCTCACAAAGGGAAAGTGTAATGAAAGTAGCTATGTAGAGCCAACTGCGATTCCAACTGTTACTACTGTCCCTTCAGTTCCCAGTAAGTAAATACTAAATTACCCTTGATTACCATTTCCTATTACTACATTTATGTAAAATTTATTCAGAATTTTCAACTTTCGGTTTTATAAAAATCTTTCCACCATTATAAAATTATCTGCAGGATAACATACTAGGGACCAGGCTCCCTGCCTGTGACTCCATTGATAGCAAAAGAACTGGTAGATTCACAGCTTAAGCTATCACGACAGTATTTGCCGAAACCTGAAGATTGCAGGATAATAAAATAATTCAGAATTTGTCTCTAAAAGCTTTACTTAGTAAAGCTTCCAGGAAGGCACTGAAAGGGAAGAAGAAAGAGAAGGTAGATTATAACCTCTATATTTTAATTATAAACATTGTAGCAGCAGAATAGGAGAATGAGCAAAGTCACATAATGATATCACCAGAGGCCTCAACAGTAAAAATTCATCAAGCTCTGAGAACACATGCACACTGAAAACTCCCATATTTAGGAAAATTAATATAATAGTGCCAGAATGGTTTAAGAAGCAAGCACAATCTATTAGTGTCTAATACCCAAAATGGAGATACTACTTGGGGCAAGGCTTACAATGATCAAGTTCTTTCCAATATGCATTTGGCTGTATTGTTATTCCTACTACATTAAAAAATAAAAAGAAAATAATATTTGCTTTGAAAAAAAAATAAATAGGGAAACAGAAAGGACTGGACAGTTAGAAACCTTTGGTTTTAATGGAATTGAGTCAACAAAAAAAAAAACCCAAGGGACTTCTTCCACTCCCTGACTGAATGAGAGATCTCAATATTTGCATGCATTATGGCAGGTGTCAAAAACTAAGCCTGATTTCTTCAGTTTTGCCTTTGCTAACTCTGCTCCTTGTGGTAAGCCAGGAGTGATGAATCAGTTCTTGCTCTAGTAATAATGGATGGGGCTTTTATCCTGCTTGAGAGGGCCTCATCTCATCTCACTGTCTTCTTGGCACTTCTTCTGAATCCTTAGTTCAGTGGAAAACTGGAAGATGGCTGGTTTTGTTTGCACATTTTTGCCATCTTCTCTAAGTCAAGCAGAAGTTAATGAAACATGAAGTGTTGCTACCTATAGCACATATGCACTTCTCCAGACAGGTTGTAGAGCTTGATCCAGATCCATCATACTGTAGAGTCTTCTAGAGGAAAGCAGAGACTTAAGCTTCCTCAAATATTCCTGTTTCACAGAGCTAGTTAGAAGAATCTCACAGAGAAAAATACAAAAAAGAAATGTCTGCTAATGTCATTATAAATCTGAAAAACGTATATAAAACAGTGAAGAAAATTGTATACAATGTTAACCAGGTCCATGTGCATTAAAAGTGAAGACTGGTGTAAATATGAATATGGCTTTTGGAAAAAATCATTAAAATACCTGATAGGGCATTGTAATTTATTGTGAAAGAGACATGAACTTTTGGGGAAAAAAAAGAGATATTTCTGCAAAAGACCTCTTCACAGATGGCTTCAAATAATTAAAACAAACAATGTGTATGTTCCAGGACTGCCTCCTGTTAAATTTGCTGTCACTCATAAAGCGCAGCTAATTGCTCTCTTGACAGCATACAGTAAACAAAAGTGGTCTAAAATTAAAATAACAGGAAAAGACTGTTTGCATTGTATTTATGTTGGAGCACTATGTACTAATGTTGTCATGCTATCAAATCTATCACCTCTAAACCTACTGCATCAGGACAAGAAAACAAAAGCAGGCTTTATTACCTGCATTCAAGTGTGAAAACAAAACCTTCTAAGATCAAAATTCAGTTTTAGAGCTCCATCTTGAGACACAGGGAGGTAAAGTTCAAAAAGATGTCTCTGTCAGCAAAATTAAATTTTAATAACACTAGAGATTTCAGTCCTAATTTACTGAAGTGAGTTTTTGACTTTGATTGCAGTTTTCATTAACAAAATATCGCAGAGAGGTGCCGGTGTCTGCCACTTCCAGCCACCTCTCAGGTGCTGTGGGCAAACACAACTCGCGAGTTAGTCTCTGTCTAATCGTCAGTGGTAGAACAACCCTATGGTAAATAGTAGCTGAGCACTCTTGTCAAAACACCAAATACAATTTTCTACCTAAAATATGGTGATAATGTTTTAATACGGGGAAAAAAAGGAGATGGTCATGTGGCATATAACTCCTGAAATAAAGAGGATCCATACTGTCCTCTCAAATGATAAAAAAGCACCATCTAAGCTGTTGCTGGGGCAAAACTAACTTGTTTGCATAACTTTGTTGAGGCGTGCTACATATATGCTATCTGAAACCTGATGAGAAAAAGTGAATGTTATCAATCATCTTCAAAGAGACATGAAACTACTTTGATGCATGTGGTGTAAGCTTACTAACACTAATGGTTTCACTACAAATGTCATGCCTGTAAACAAGAGATGAAAGAATTTGAGCTGAGCTAATTTGTTTTGCTAGACGTAGAGCTTCAGTAAGAGGCAGTGTCATCATTCACAGTGCCACAAAAGCTCATTGCAAAGTCAAAAAAAAATGTTAGTGGTGGAATAGGGAAGCTGGATTTGCTTTTGTCTGTTGCACAAGACTGTCAGCTTACACTTTCATCCAAAACAAAGATTGCTTTCATCTTCATGTTCATTTATAAACTGTCTTTTAACACAAACAACAATGTGGAAATTACAGTCTAGATTCCACATTTAAGATGTGTATATCTATATATATTAAAGTTTTGGCCAAAGCACAGAGGAATTTTTTTATTAATAGGCCATATACAATCTTCTGCAGTGCTGAGAAAATTGTCTACTATGCTTAATGAAAGAACTAAGATTATTAGTGCTGATTGTTATTTGGTTCTCTAATGAGTGACAACTATACAAATAATTTCATATAAATTTGTGTGTTAAGGATCACCAGAAATTTTAAAAACATTTTTCCAGACATGAGTAAAATCTATTACTTCTACCATTTCCCCATGCAAGACAAAAATCATTTCTAATGTGCCTGACATGCAGTCAATACCAGATCAGATTTCACCAGAAGTTAGCCCTGTTCTGCTGTTGAGAAAGTTAGTTTTGCTTTGTCCATATCATCAGATAATACTGGCTAATAGTCATATATTCTTCAAGTAGCTTTACAATAGTTCTGTGTCTGTTGATACGTGCAGTAATGTTGAATAAAAAAAAAAAAAAAAAAAAGTGTAATCTTTATTTGTTTATAATAGTATTTACAGAAAGTATTCATCATTGTGAGCCATACAGCGGAAACATAATATATTTGTTAGCATGTGATTGTTAACGGTACCTTTTTACTTCAGAGAGTTTGGCTTTTCTTGCCAAGAGTACTTTGGTGAAATAGAAAGTTCTATAGAGGGTTGTCATGATAAAGTTCAGATCCTTCTTGTATTTGGGTGGGACTTCCTCTCAGTGGAATTCAATGAGCAAACTCAGTAGAACTTGTAGATTATTCTTCTGCTGACCACTTGCCTAACTAGGAAAGATATTGTCATTAATGGACAATGCATGATCTAGATCCCTTCCTCTGGTCTTAGATCATCTGCAAGAGATCCAAGGTGGCCCACCACTGGTGAGACAAGTAAGTCAATACACTCACTCACTGCAAAGGTTATGCAGAGGGGACTGAGTTGGCCAAGGATCCAAGCCATGGGAGATGGAATGAACCAGGCCATGAGTCCCAGATAGAAATTCATGATCTTGTTGTGCCATCCTGGTAACTCCACTTCCTATGAGGGGTCAGGGAGCCCTTTCAAGAGCCAGAATCCCACTCATAGACAGACCTCCCAACTGCACTGCAAGCAGAATCAATTCTTATACAATTGGCTTCTTGCCCCACCTCCAAGTTAATGTGGAAGGCAGGGGCACCTGGTTGTGATTTCCTAACCAGTTCCCACTCAAGGCTGGCCGGACCTTGGGTGAAAACCACTCAGGAGAGTTTTTCTTGCCTGGTTGTGGGCATCGTGCGTATGCCAACCCTCATTCAGGGCTGGGGGTTTAACACAGCACCTCAGTTATGCAGTCCCGAACCAAGTGGCTCACAGTATGCAACACTGACAGACACAATGAAATGCAAAATTTGAGCCAGAAGGGACGGTGGGGCTGGGGAAAGTGTTAAAGTTTAGCCAAAAATCCATTTTAATTCAAAGAGTACTCGAACAACAAAACAAAAGGTAGATTTCTTCTTTCTTCTCTGAGGAACACTATTTTTTAATAAAGTTATTGTGAACAAAAGAAGTGGGAAAACACCAAAGTTCATTCTGATGGTACAGCTGAAATGGAAATAAAAAACTTTTCTCAATATGAATTAGTTTCAGAATATGAAGCTGACATATTTTGGGTGTAAACCACCATCTCAACTATAGAATGAAAGAAAATATTGACTATATAAACCTCAGTTAGGTATATCGGTGTGTGCGAGTGCACATATATGTGTTCCCATCTACAATATTTGCCTTTAAATAAATTTTATTGGGGTTTAGGTATTAAGTGCATATGTATGTTTATGAAAAAGACCTTTCTTATTGGAGCAGCTGTTTCAAAGGAAAAACAAATGGTTACTTTTACCATTTACAAGGTTCAGCTGTAAAAGTTCAGGTTCCTGATGAAATTAAAATAACAGTGTAAGGGTGTTTTTTGCTATAATGTTTATATGGTAGATGACAAAATGGTCTTTATACTTGAGCATCTCTGCTAGTGCTGAAAGATCAGTCAGATATAAGCAAGGTATGCATGCAAGCTAAGTGCATAAAAAGGTTATATTGGGAGGGGGGGGTTATTTCTTTGCTTTCTCTGACATTTTCTAGCTTTTACATTGTTTTATATTGAAGTGTTGGCTTCTCACAACTCATTGTACAAGCTCTATACCAAAGGCACCATAACTGAATCCTTAGAGTGATAAAGTTAGTTTGAATATGCTCTTCCTAAAATTACTTTTCCCAAATTATCTTTGTTACAAGGGGTTGCAAAAGTAAAATAACAGGTTAACTATGTTTTTGAAATCTTCTCTTTTTCAGCTGACTGTGGCGGGCCAGTTGAACTCTGGGAGCCAAACAGTACATTCAGCTCTGAAAACTTTCCAAACAATTACCCTAATCAAGCTTTTTGTAAGTCATTCTTCTCCAAGTCTTCAGGAAAAAGTTTAACCATATAAAAGTAGAGATAGCAAATCTGGTTTCCCAAATCAGATGCTGTCAAGCAAAAAAGAAAGATCTAAGCTATATATAGTGGGATCATTTTAACTTAAGTCCATACAACACTTTCAGAAGCTAAAAAATCATGTGCCAGATGGTTAAAAAGTGATGAAGACAAGTATAATCCCTTGGAATGGGTTCAGATAGACCAATTTCATCATGCCTCTTATGTCAGGTATCTTTATGTCAGTGCAACAACAGAGAAGGTGCTGAAAGTCCCCATTTTACCTTTACACCTGAATATAATATCATTGTCTATTAAATAGTTAACCTTTTCTATGGATAAAGAATGTGCATATGCATTTTGCAAGGGACCCTCTCTTTACTGAATGTTTCTTAACATACTAGTGAAAAGACATCATTATTCTACTGATGTTACTTGATTTAGAGTAAGCTACAGCAGGCACAAGTGAAAAAGTTTCAACATGGTCCACTATTTGTTGTTGATAGATGGAACAAAAGAACTGTGTCATTGCTTCTTAATGAAATTTTACTTATTTATTACTTCACTTTTAACTGGAGAATTGTGTTGGTATGTTAATCACAAGAGTTGTAAATTTGTGTTTCTGTCCCACTTGAGATATAGCTTTCATTTCCAGATATTAATTTCACAAATTCCCAAATGAGATTCCTGCTAGTGAGATAATATTTTTCATTCGATGAACAGATTAAAGAATGGTTGGGGGTTTTGTTACTTTATTTACAAGATTTCCATAGTATCCACACTGATATAGATTAAATTGCTTAAAGCATGGACTAGAGAGAAGCAAGTACTTCTCTAAAAAGACATCTGACTTGAAAGACAAGTTTCTGTGACTGATTATTGAAATTATCTTACAAGGCTATTTGTCACATTTTCACAGTTGCAAAAGCATTAACTTTGCTACTTTACAGAAACTTGCAGTTGTTGTAAATGGAAAAAACATGTATGTGTGCATGTCTTAGGAGTCTAAATCCAGTTTTCAAAAATGTTTTAGAAAATGAGAGTCAATTGAATTTGGGATCCTGACAGCATAAGTTCCCTCTAAAGAAAAGGTTTAGACTTCTAAGTCTCTTGGGTGATTCTTAAGAGTTTAGCAGAGATTTCTTTCTTTCACCCTAAATCCTTCAGCATGAAAATAACAGTAAATGTAACAACTGAAAAGGTGATTTTTGTTTGTGTATTATTTTCTAGGTGTGTGGTACTTAAATGCTGAAAAGGGAAAAAACATTCAACTTCATTTTCAGGTTTTTGATCTGGAAAATATTCATGATGTAGTTGAAGTCAGAGATGGCAGAGGACCAGATTCCTTACTTTTGGGCAAGTAACAGCGTTGGGTACTAAAACGAATGTAACCAGACAGCTGGAGCAAAGTGGTAGATATCATATATAGGAAATTAATTCTCTCTAATTACATTTCTGCACATTTTCGAGTCTTGGAAGTTAGCAGGATATTTTGAAAAAGCATCCTTCCCAAATGTTTGCACACACTCATCTTTCTACACAATTCAAACAAAACTAACTTTGTAATACATAAGAATGTTCATGTACATGGACAAACAGAAGCATAATCTCTTAGTTGAACCTTATTTTTCTCTACCAACATGTCATATTTGGGGTTGAGATTTGGTCTTTGCAGTCTGATAGAAGTTAGGTCTGGAGGAATGATTGTACTCATGTAGTAGCAACATTTGCTTTTGAACCCAGAATGTTTTGAAATACATAAGAACAAAACAGATTAATGTATTCATGTTCTCCTGGAGAATAGCTGTCTATACAGGAAAAGACCCAGTGCCAGATGTCTTCTCTACAACAAACCAGATGACAGTAATCCTCCATACAGACAAGTCTACAATGAAGAAGGGATTTCTTGCCAACTTTACTACTGGCTACCATCTAGGTAAGCATATAAACCCTTGTGTTTAAGAGGTTATATCGCTGGTCAAATACAATCAAGAAAAAGTGTAGAGCCGGAGGTGACTCTAAGACCCAGGTCAACAAAAATATGAAAAAGTTAAAGAGAAGAAGTCTAGTGGTTACCCATCTGTACTTTGTTATCTAGCATGAAAAGTGATGGGTTTGTTGCTGTAGTATAATTGGACCAATGTCTATATCATCCACAACTCGGTGTGATACATGAAAAACTGACTCAGTATTTTGGCAAAACCTATTAAAATGTTAAAAGGTCAGACAAGAACTATTCCCTGCACAAGTCTCAGAAAAGAACATCAGTTTGCAACTAATTTGAGGCTATCAATTTGTGTTTAAATATATATGTAAAATATTTATTATCAATCACACTTGCTAGAAGAGAAAAATGTGTACGAGAACTCTAATTGGTGTTGGCAATATAGTCCTTGTATCTTTAAAAATTTGGTCCTTAGCATGTGAAGGATCTGGGAAGAGTTAGTCTTTTAAATATTTGGACAGTCGTGTTTCTGGTCTCAGACAGTCCCCCTCTGAAAGATTCCTGATTTTGTTGGGTACTGCGATGAGGCTTGTCACTATATAAGTAATTCAGCAGTCGGCTCTCCAAAAGACACAAAATTGAGCCAAATGCTAAAGTATATGGAACAGCAATATGCTTACTAGGACAAATACTTACACTAAGTCTAAGCCAAATCTTGATGGAATTAATTAGAGGTTTAGTAGTACTTCTTTCAAAGTCTGACAGCAGAAATATGAGAAAGAAAAAGCAGTATGTGTTAGAGATGTGTGAAGTAATATTCATTTGCTCAAATAGAAAGTCAACGCTCTTTGTCTTACTTTAAATATCATAAAAAGGAAATGTCTTCCAGCATGTTTAGCTAGCTCTGTTTTTTTTATAAACAGCAATAATAATATTAATTTTCTTAATCTTTAAAAAAAAAGAAATAAATCCTGATTTACCTTTTCAAAATTGACTCCATTTAGCCCCATTGTGTAAAACTGAGAGGCAGCTTTATATGGACATGTGACCCATTTTGCTGCTTCTTGTTCTGCTTTCTCTGTTACATCTGTTCAGTCCAACAACACCATTCCTTTTTTATAGCTGGTTCAGTATCTTTGCTGACCCAGCTTTGCCCATATTTTGCTGTAAAATAAAAACCAAGCTTAGCAAGGCAGAAATTTTTTGAGAAAAGTTCTCAAAATGGCCATTGCCAGTTCTGGTTAAATATATTTTGAAAGTTTCATTAGCAAAAGAATTATGCTTATTCATGATCTTTGCAGCCAAAGGACAGAGACTAATATCATTGTCATGCAAGCCGAAGGATAAAACGGTTGTCAGTAAATAAATTTTAGAAGAAAAGAAGATTTTTATTTGTATTTTATTTTTTCCATGAAGTACTGAGTTTTTGGAAAGGCAGTATAATTTCAAAAGAAATATTTTGGGGAAGTATACAATATAATAAAAAAACACTGTGTAAGTAAGAACTAAGTACTATGGAAAATCTGGCATCAGTTATGGCCACTAATTGTGTGAAAATCTGGTTTAAGCCATTTATAAACCATATACTTTTGCTTCCATATTACACCACAGGCCATACGGACTGATGAATGAACCATTTTATATGCATAGTAAAAATTCAGAAGCAAAGCAATTATCTTGCCTTACATAAGAGTTCTAAATAATTGGATGTTTCAGACAGTAAGTCCAGGAAGGTAAAATAAAGAAAATAAACACTTTTTCAACAGAATTTAAGTTTATGGTTGTATATTTCCTGTCAATATTATCGAACAGTGCCACTAAAAATACACTTTAGTTGTAGGAAGAATTATAGCTTTATATTTATTCTCTATCTGATCAGGTTTTATTGACAACTGGCACTGAAATAGCTTAAAACTACCTTTGTGAATGGTATATTCGTTCACTTCTGTTACCTTTGTTTCTATCACCTTAGCTCCCTAACAGCCTGGGAAGGAGGCTTTTGGCTTTCAGTGTCTCTGAAGTAAAGAGTATATTTGTGTGTTTGACTTGGCATACTTTGAGATCTTGAAAATTCTGTGAAAATACTGAATACTTGAAACTTGAAATCATTAGCCACTTCTGGCAAGATTTGATCAGGATTTGAATTTTATAATCCTTTCATCCTCTGAAGTTTGTTACATATAACAAAAGAACGCTAGTAACCAAGCTATGCTAACAATAGCAGAAACTACAAGATATCATACCATAGATTTTATTCCTAATTAGCTTCTATTTATCTGAAAATAATTTTATTTTGAAAAAGACATGGATGGTAAAGGAAAGAAAAGATAATCAAAGGTACTGCTTACTACCCACTCAATTTTTCTTTCAAGTGAACTGTATGATCTCTAGTGAACATCAAATTTCCTCATAATTGCAGATATTTTTCCTTTCCTGTTTTCCTTCAGGAACCTGTGCAATTGATGAGCATCAGTGTGGTAGCGGGGAGTGCATACCATTGAATAACCTTTGTGACAACCTACCTCAGTGTGAAGATGGCTCTGATGAAGCAAAGTGCAGTAAGTTTTCCTTCATGCAAAGAGAGGGAATGCATGCATATTTGGTAGAAATTACCCAGGAAAACAACCACACAAAACCTCAGCTAGCATAAACTATTGCTGCTGCATGCAGGCCATGCTAAATTACATGGCATTAACTTGTTGAGCTTGTCAGGGCCAAAAAAACCAGTCAGTTTCTGAGACAGTGTATATAAGCTGGTGCAGTTCTCTGGAAAAGGTAGGAGGTTCCTCTGTGCTTAAAACAGTGGCTGCTCATAACGGTCTCAAAGTTAAATGAAAACTCATTACATGCTTTCCTTCTGTATCTAGTAGCAACATTTGCTTTTGAACCCAAAATGTTTTGAAATACATAAGAACAAAACAGTTTAAGTGTATTCATGTTCTTCTGGAGAGTAGCTGTATGTACAAGAAAAGACCCAGTATCTAGTCTGTATCTATTTTGTGTTTTCAAATTCTAGCACTATTTTCAGTTAATTTGAGTTTCACAGTGGTATAAATTCTGAAGTGTAGACAATAAGAGTCGTCTTGATGGAATTTCCCAGCTAGTCTTGTGGTTGTGAAGCCAAATTGCAGCACGTGGCATCCTCCAGCCTGCCTGGACTCTGTCTTGTGGAGCCATTGCCACAGGGTGAAGGGAAGGCACAGCTGCAAGAGCAGCATCTGTTGCTCATAGTGGATGTGAATGTTCCTACAACAAGGAGATCAACAGCTACTATTGCTTGGTCCTCTGATAAAATAGTTCTTTCCAAAATGTAGATGTAGAGTATACAGCTTCACGTAGCATGGAAATAGCATTCTCTATACAATTATTTAAATGTAAAAGTGATGTTAAAATCATGTTGGGCCTAGCACAGAAATAAATTGCTGTGTCTGACAAAGTGCTCTTCTGACAATTTATTATGGAGCCCTAATGGAAGAGGTAAAAGTGGGCTTTTAAGCTCAGTACATCAGTGATGTACTGATGTCTAGACATCAGATAAGTCCTGGGATGTGTGCTGACAGTTCTTATTGATTTCAATGCCTTTTACATGCATTTATATATTTATATATATGGCATATATAAATGTATGTACATATACACATATATATATATGTTCGAAGTCATGGATTCCCTCTTTGCATTGCTGCAATTACCTATTTTGCTGCACACATATTCTTCCTTTAAAATAAGGAGAATAAAATTCATTTCAGCCTCTTAAGCAAAGAGGACTTGAATGGGTTTTCCCAGCCTAAAGAAGGTCTAAACAACGTAACCATCACCTACATTAATATGTTTTACATTTTCCCAAAGATTTATTTTGCTATAGATTGTCTATTACTTCATAACAAATTACATTACATTAAAAGATGGGGAGAATTGTTTCCAAAAACCCATTTAATCCAAACATTGGCTGAATCAGCCTCAGCCTTAAAATAAAAATAAAATTTAATTAGTCACTCTCATATTGAGTCTTTTCAGTGTCCAATAGTCTTGCACATTTTCCTGAAACCAATTTAAATTCCTTATCAGAAGGGCTAATCTGAACTAGACAAACTGTCATTTTCAAATGCTTTAACTTCTGAAACTTCTAGGGACTGCAAAGGAAAGGCATAGAATACCTCTTCTTTTGCATAATTCTAAAATATATGACATTTTAATTAAGCAGTTGTTGAGTGCTTAATGACTCTCTTATTCCTTTCCAACAACGGGTTTGGAGAAGAACATGGATATGACAAGGAGAAAGGAAAAGGAACTGTAGTTCAAGTAGAAGAGAGGAGATATGTCAAAAGTAATTTGGATAAATCTTGCAGTGCAAAAAGTTCTGAGATTTTTCCAGACTGCTCAAAAATTTCTCATAACTGGTGTTTATCATTAATTAATCACAGTATATCACTTTCATTTATGCACTCTGGCTGTGAAGGAGGCATTCCTAGAAATCCAGTATTTTAATTTTTTTTTACCATAGTGGGTCCACTTTACTTTTTTGTGGAAATATTTTGGTTGAAAAAATGTTTTCTGGACAACTAAGATCTTAAATATTTTCGCAAACAATAAATTTCAAGTGCAGTGTATGTTTTTCCCTGCATGATGGGGATGAACAGATGAACTGTCATCTGCCTGATATGCAGCTGTAGCTCCTGAGACATGTAAAAAATTCCCAAACCTTATGGCCCAACTTAGTCACTATGCCAAAAGCATAAGATTTGTCACCAAATACTTAATGCGTTTCTTCATTTTTGTTCAGAACATTTTGTTTTGGGAAAAGTTTTCATAGAAAGTCTGGTTTTCACGGAGTTTCAATTATTTGTATGTGTGTGTGTGTTTTAACTAAAGTTACAATGAAAATAGTGAAAATGCTCATAGTAATTGGAACTGGACAATCCAATTTTCTGTCATCACTTCATGGTTTTAACTCTATTTAAGTGTTACTGAGCATTGTGGAGCTAAAGCTTGGCACAGTATCTGATAATTACATAATGCTGACTAAGAAAAAACATTGGTTAGATTCCATTGGTGGAAAATGTACTGTTTATTGTCTATTTGTGCGGCTTTTGCAAAATGCAGGTTATTAAACTCTCTTGTGGCAGAAATATAGAAGGACGTAACAACAACACTTCCTTCCTGTGGGAACACAACATCTTGGAGATGTGGGGTTTATCACTTCTATCACACATTTTAACTCTTTTTTTTATTCTTTGCTGGCAGTAATGAATTTGTTTATATTACATTTCTGTGTGCTTGGGGTGATGGGGAGGGTGATTTGCTACCTATCTAAAATGTTTCTGTCCATTTTGTTCTACAGTGAGATTGCTTAACGGTTCTCTAAGCACCGAAGGGCTGGTACAGGCCAGGATTGGGAAGATGTGGCACCTGGCATGTGCGGATGGCTGGGATGAACAGATTTCAAACAGTGTTTGCCAGCTGCTAGGGTTAGGGTGAGTGAAGAGTATTTATCATCCCTGTAACTTGCTTACAGGCTTCTTGAGTCTATATATTGGTGTTTTACCAGTGTTTTTACCATCCAGAAAAAGGGCATATATGTTAGCTGAAGTGCTTGGTGTGCCAATGAAATTATAAGTATCACAAACCCTGTTTTGATGACATTCATTACAGGATTGATAACCGTATATGGCAGATTAGGCATGAGGATTCATATTGGAGACCATTGGGAGATGTGGGGATATTAGTCCTTTATCACTTTATGACATCAGTTATGTTTTCACTTTTATAAGGATAGCTCAAGAGTAAAGCTCAAGCAAACAGCAGCCTTGGCTGCTCTGCTATCACACTAATGTTCTTTTCAAGTAAATTCAAGATCATCACTAAGGTCTTCTGCTGCTGGGTTCCAAATACGTTTCGTACCTACCATTAGACCTGAGCTGTTGGGAGAGGAAACTGTATTTCTCTTGAGGTATACTTAGAGGAGCTGAAAGAGAAGGGAAGTATATGACTAAAATATAGATTCAGCTCCAGTGACTGTTCAGCAGAATTTCCAGGGAACAGATGGGGACACTTGAGTGGAGAAGTGTTGTATCTTTCAATCTATGGTAAAATTTATGTCCTAAATTCTGGTCTTACTTACACTGTATGCAATTGCACTGCCATCCACTGAAAATTAAATAGCTTTTTGGCAGTCCTGAAGTATTTAGGGAATGTCACTCACCCAAGTGAGTCAAATTTTAGGCTTGCAATTCTTTATGTTAGTCTCTGACCAAAGTAGGATGCCTGCAAATACCCTTCTGATAAAGTCATTGTAAAATTCACAGATTTAGGAGGACTTAGAAAAAATATCCAAAGTGTTATCTGAAAATACCTTTAATCACTGGATGAATTTGTGCTGGTTTGGGTTGTTTTTCTTCGGTTGGTTGGGTTTTTTGGGGTTTGGTTTGGTTTTGTTTGGTTGGGTTTTTTTACATTTTTCCCTTTGGGTAGCTACTGCATTTACCTAAACCCCAGATATCTGTATGCAGAAATCCCAACTGTAATTTATGTCTATTTTCTCCTTTACATTTGCGTATAAGAACATATAAATCGTGACTAAATGTTCTTCTAGTCAAATAGCTTGTCCTTTACAGTGGCCAGTAGCCTTCTGCTGATTCTTTCTGTCCCTCTGCCCCACCTCCTTTGCCTATATAGCTTCTGGACACTAGTCATTTTATGTTCTATTGGTTTAATTTACATTTTGTAGTTGATAGGCTTCAGTGAACTTTGCCTTCCATGGTACTTTCTACTACCCTTTAAAAATTAAATTATTTTTTTTCCATAACATTTTGTGCCGATACATTTCAGTTTGTATCTATAAACTAGCCAGATACATTGGCTAAAAAAATTCCAATTACGTTTCCTAGTAAATTCTTCTTAATTCAATTTCTCATTTTATTACATATTCCCATTTTCAAGAAAAAGTATTTTAAAACCCAAATTGTATCACATTCTGACATCTTGGGTATTACTGCTGTTACTGATCCTACAGTATAGGACAAAATTCTCATATATATGCATATATATGTAACTCCTGTAAGCATCACACATTTCTGCCTTCCACAAGAAGCATAGTAACAGCATATTTGTTAATCAGTGGCACCATGTTTGTTACTAAATGGATGTTTGTAATAACAGGTCTTGAGTAGTCTATAGCTCATGCTCCTATACTGAATAATTAACTAGAATTACACTTTATTAGAGAGTCTAAGGTTCATCTGGGACAATTTGCTTTTGCTGCTAATTGTTCATCCATTTGCTAGTCTCATTTACTGTTTAATTTATGAAAAGGACAAAAATTATAGTAGTTCTGTAGTAGATCCTGAGTATTTATGCAGCTGGACTAGCAAGTGTGATGTTCCACACAGATTATAATAAATCACACTTGTGAATTCTTTTGCCTCTAGTTTTCAAATATGTGACTGTCGCATTTACGATCTGTGCCAAACAGGATGCAAATCTGGAAACATGTCTATGTATCCATCTATGAAATATAGTTTAGGCAAATCATTTACAAATATTCTTAATGAATTTGGAGTGCAAGGTGAACCACTTGATGCTCTTGAGAAACCTGATCAAGATCCTTTGCTTAGTTTGCATTTGTAGCTTTGTGCATCTGACAACACCATTAAAATCTGAGTATGGTTAGCTTTGCTTTTCCTTGAATAAACAAAATCATACATTGCACTTTTCACCATTCTGCTGGTCTGGTGTGAAACATACTTGTTTCTCAGGGAACAGAGCCAGCTGGGTCTTTACTGAACCATACCCAGGAATGGGTGTAGATCTTGCAGTTTTGTCATACCCAAAAGTCCAACAAGGACTGCGAGTTCAGGCCTTGCTCTTAACCCTGGTATCTGTTTTCTGCATTAACTCACAAAATTGAGAGGAAATAAGTTCATTGGAATACAATGTCTTGTTTGACATTTCCAGATTAATTAGATTTTCAACCTCCCCACTTATGAATGCCCAGTTCATGACCATGCTAATCAGAAAAGCCTGTCTTTCACTGTCAGACCCAGGTTCTCCAGTGTGCTAAGAATATAATATACAACCTTAGAGAGTTCCAGCCATGTGTGCCTCATTGCACTAAGAAAGCAAATTAAATTGTCAAAGTGCTTTTCAAAAAAGGGCTTAGATTTTATTTCAAAAAGCTGGGGAAGTTTAACAAAGCCACTGTGTTTACAGAGAAACTCAGAGAAGTTCTAAACTGTAATGCAGAAATTTCATCATTTACAAAAAAAAAAAAAAAAAAGAGGTGGAAGAATGGAAAATAGTTTGCTCAAACTGTGTTAAAAAAACACCAAGAAAGATGCTAAGGTGAGATGAAAGATCTTCACAAGCATTATGAGCTTAGTGGACGCTTGGACTTGGAAGATTTATAGTGTTTGCCCTATTAGAGGATCTGTTACAATAATCTAGTAAAACACCCATGCATTCACTTGAAGTTTCCTGGTATAACATGCCATGGAAAATGTCAGCCAGTAAAATTGATACATATACATACTCTAAGCTTTTCCACTTTTTACATTGGTAGAAGCTCCTGCCCACTAGCTTTCTCAAGAAACAGCTTGGTGCCTTTTCCACAAATTTGTGCATATTGTATCTCCGTGATTAGACCAGCAAAGTTCATCATTGTAGAATTTGGCTCTGCTTAACTGGGCTGACGCTTCACTACTCTTCTGAACTGTCTAGAAGGCCAAGTGAGGATTCTGGGGTTATCTCTGAAGTACATATTAGTATACTAGTGTTTTATATTGAGAAAAGTCTGTACTCTAGACTAGGGTGTACAGACTGTCTCTCTCACTCTCTTTCTGGACAGAATTAAGTGGGCTTTGGCATTTCCAGATTGAGAAACACTTCAGTAATGACTTTTTCATTAAGATGGGTCATATAGCTCTCCTAGTGTCACAGCAGGACTATTGAAGACCTCCTCTCTCCTACACCTAGTCTACTGGCATAGCAGATTTGCAGGAAGATTCTAGATCCATGCTTCCCAGTAGAATGAGATTTCCTGCACTGGAAGAGATGGTACTTCCTTGATACACAGGTGCTCCCTCCATATTAAACCTGCACAAATTGTTCTCCTCTTCCCCCTGAGATATATATTGCTAAAGGTTCAAGTGGGGCTAGGCTGTCACCCAAAAAAATTTATGTAGTCTGACTCCATAAAATTGTTTATTTTCCCCATGCTTCCTCAAGAGAAAAGCAAATATATTTCTTGGGTGTATGTTCCAAGTTGGTCAAACATGGTATCACAAAGTATATGATACAGAATGGGCCACAACACAAAGTAAATCTGGATATGGGTTGTAAATGTCAAATCAATTTATCTCACCAATAGTACACAGAATTCTTGGTGTTTAAAAAAAAAACAAACAAACAAAACAAAACAAAAAAAAAAACCAACCAAACAAACAAAACGCAATCATGACACCCTTGACATACTTCACAGTTTGATTTCAGCAGATATACAAAGTGAAACTTAATTTCTAAAGAAGGTAACATTTATTCCATTCAATTCTTTATGGTATAAAATAGAGTTACATTTCTTCTCTAGGCACAGAAGTATAGTGTCAATATAATTACACCATTCAGAAAAGCAAAGCAGAGATATTCTAAGGTTCAGCTATCACTGTTCCATTTTGCTACTGTTTTAGCTCTGTATCTTTAAGAATTGGTAGGGCAAATCCATTATGTGGCACAGAAAAACAGAAAGTGTTAATTTACTGATAAAATAATTTATGTCTCTTTCAATATTATTGTAGCATTACAAATCTTAGGATAAGACATAAGAGTGGAAGTAGGTGAGTTGCATTTTAATTCATGTGAATTCCAAGCCTCAAAAATCTCCTAATAAACTGCCATTATTTCAAGGGAAAAAAAATTGTTGTTTATTCCACCAGCATAATAATTTCCCAAACATTCCTTCACTAGTGGAACAGGAAAAATATCTAAAAATATGCATGTGTATCTTTTCCTTCCAGGGATGTAAATATGTCATCAACTGTATTATTAACTGGAGGTGGCCCATTTGTCAACATCACCAAAGCAGCTAACCACAGTCTAATATTTACAAAAAGGTGCGTAGAGTGTGATTTCTTCCTCATACAAAATATAATTAAAGTATGGTGGTCATCATTTATACAGTGATTTCTAGTTCAAGTTTACCTGAAACCCTAATCTTAAATCTTCATACATTTACTGTGGAAACAATAAACACTGCTATTTTTACAAAACAATTCTTATCTAGAAATCTCTAAATTATTAGTATATAATGTGGTAGAAGAATTAAAATGGAGTGGCATTCATGTGTGGTTATGTAGTAGTTATTGCACTGTGTTCTCTGTGTATTCAACAGAGAAACTTAAGCACTCCAAATTGTGTTACATCAAGGCACCTCTTGAAATATGATGAGTCACACTCTATAATCCATTTACTTTATTGATACAGAATGGACTAAGTGTGGATTGCTAAGGTAAGCAATCCACAGATAGGTATCTATCTTTAGACAAATTAGTTCTGCTCAAAAACTACTTCAGGATCTGTCTCCACATTTAGAAGTGAATCATTAGATGAGATAATGCTCAGAATACATTCAATTATATTCTGATCTTTCTTAGTTCAAATGCCACCTGAAGAGATTCTGAAGGGTCCTACAAACTGGTAAAGTTTCTTGTAGTTTAAATGGAAATGTAACATCAACATAGGATTATATTCTCAGAAATTCTGGGATTTACAGTACACCTCCAAAAGGAGAAAGACTTGCCACTGTCAAATTAAAACAAAATAAATAATGGCTTCAAATACTGTCTTTCTGTTTATAAGGAGGTTTATTATACATATGTTTCTGGAATCCTAAAAATAACACTGAGGCATAAAATTAGTGTCTAATTTCTGAAATGTTGAAACCATGTTAAGGATGGCAAAAGTCCATGTTCTTTCAGGTTTCCTTTATAAACATCCTATATAGTAACAAAGCAGGGGAGAATTCTCAGTTTGCCAGTTTGCTGTGCTGTATTTTATCTACAGTAAACAAAAAAAAAAATTAAAAAGATACATTTTATGTTCTAATTATACTCTGTTAATCTCAAATATTTATCATTCTCACTGGCAGTGAAATATCTTAAAGTAATTAAATGCCATGGCGAGCTTTTTTTTTTTTTTTCCTTCTTGAGTGGATGTCTAAACCAGGACTGTCACAAGAGATCTTAAAGAGCAGTAATGATTTAAAGATGTCTTTTATTAATATCTATTAAACACTAAAAAGTAATTAATGGAGGAGCAAATGGAATAAGTTAATTCATCTTAGTTGTATTTCTGTTGCAGAAATAGGTATCTACCATATTTCATCTGGAAAGCTGGTGGGAATCATTTTACAGGGTGACACCACCACAGATTTGCACTTTTTTGTTCACATAATAAATGATAGATGACATAGATTTGACAATTTAGAAAAACCAAATTCATTAACTGGTAATCAAATTATAAAATGTATTTCTTACACTGTCTTTGGTCTTTATTAATGTGTAACTACCATTGAAACAAAGGAGGGCTCATATAATAGGACTTGAAAGTAGTGGTGGCAGAGACAGTAAAACTGTGCTCTCCTGCCCTTAGGCAATGTATTTCTTGGCAGGACAGCTTTGTGACAGGACAAAAATCCTGCCTTGAAGATATATGTGAGCAGATTCCACAGGCACAATTGCTTTTGCCAGTCCTAAGTGAAGATCATACTCACAGATGTCCCAACCACTCCAGACACTCAGAGAGGCACACAGGATGGTTATGCAGCACATGCAATGCCTCTGTTGCCTTCTGGACACTCTTGTGCTGACCAAGAGGCAGCTGAGGACTGGTGAATTGAAGTGCAGGCAAAGAAGCAGTTTTCATACTGGGAGCTGCTTTCAGAAAGAAGAGAAAGCAGAGGCCCATAAAGTAATATCTGCTAAAGCAATCAGTAGGTGCTGATGGTGGGACAAAGACCCCCATTACATTCAACTTCCTGCTTCAGTGTAAAAAGAAAAAAATAGGGACAAATCTAACCTGTTGGCTGTTAGTTGGCTAAATATGCACCCACTGAAAAGGAAGTGTAGGATAGAATAATAGTTATAATATACTGTACCACTGACTGCCTTTTTAAAGCCTATGGAGGGAGCTCCAGACAAAAGTATTCAGTTGCTATGGAGTTTCCACAAAAGATGGTATTGGTTTCCTGGGGGTTTGACTTCATTCTTATGAAATCAGTATAGATTTGAAAAAAATTACAAATTTGCATTTCATTTCTTAAATTACACCTTTAAAATGATGCACCTATCTAGAAGTAGAAAACAGCCACTTGAGACTATTGGGGGCTGGATGCATATCTCATCTTTGCCCCCGTCTGTAGAGAAGATTCAGCTGGAGAGGTGGGGAGCGGTAACAGTTCCCACCTGCCCTTCTTGCACAGCTATGCCATTGTAAAAAGGCTGGGTCGTGTCATTGCAGGATTTCCCTCGCAACAGATAGCAAATTTTAGAGCAAACATAGTGTGGAATACATAATACCATATTTAAAGTATCTTTCCTTTTTTTCTATTTAAAAATAATGTGGAAATGCATACTGTAAACTAGCCGTTGGTGGGCTTTTTTTTTTTTTTTTCTCTGATACATTTCTGTGTGTATCAGATTTACATTACCAACACACACACTGTCCCAAGTGTTCATAGTCATTACAAGCCATGAAGGTAATCCTAAAACCTCTGGGATCAGAAATCCTTGAGTAGTTTTGATCTATGGTCTTTGCTCTTCAGACTCTGGCTTTATATCTCTGATAAATAATTTCTAGCTCTGTATATGCAGCTATATATTTTACGGTGCATTATAATCTTAGTAAAAAGATACAGTGATAGCAAACTAACCTCTTCAATTCTTTGGTTACACTGATCTCTAGTGGTAAGGTATTGAAAATATCTCAAAAGATAGAAAAAATAAAATATGTAGTTACAATTTTACTGAGAATCTACCACAGACAGATGACTTATTTCCCTAAAGCACAAAGGGAGTCTGCTTTTACGTCTGTAACATACACCAACTAAGTGTCCATTGAAGATGAATAAGTACACTTAATATATATAATATAATGTATA